CTGAAACAGCCAGTGCTGGCCCAGCCCAAAGCCGGGAGCCCAGAGCTCAACCCAGGTCTCGGGCCGTGAGTGGCAGGGCCAACTCCTGCTGCCTCCTCCTGCACATTAGTAGGAAGCAGCTGTCCCGAGTGACTGCGTAGCCACCGCCCCAGATGCCCTTCCCCTCCCGCTCTTCCTGCGGCCCCTGAGAGCCAGGCCCGTGATGTCCCCATCTCGGTAAATCCCAAGGCGCCTCCCCCATCGTGCAGAGGACAGGGAGGTGAGTGAGCTTGGGTGACTTTCCCAGAGCTACCCAGCTGGGAAGCCCCGAGGCCATGATCCCATCCCAGCCACTACCGCGCCCTGGGCCAGATCCAGCCAGGTGTGCACTAGAAAGTGGAGCCCCGCATCTCTTCCTCCAGGCCCCCACGCGCCTGTCTACTTCTATGAGTTCCAGCACCGGCCCCACTTCCTAAAGGACAAGAAGCCACCCCACGTGAAGGCTGACCACGGGGATGAGCTGGCCTTTGTCTTTGGCATCTTCTTTGTAAACCGCCAAGGTGAGTCTCCCTCCCTCCCTGGAGGCAGGCCAGGGCCCTAAAAGGCCCCAAGGGGGTGTTGCCCCCACTGCACAGATGGGGAGCCTGAGGCTGGGACACAGGGTGAGTAGGTGTGCAGGGTCTCAGGGCTCTGAGGGCTGAGCTGGGTTAGAATCCCAGAGCCTCAGTCAGCAGCCTGTGCCCCTCCTGCTCTGCCCACCTGGTCATGGGGGTCTGTTGCAGTTTATTTCTCAACAATGTTGTAGTGGATTCGTTTCTGAGAGAAGGAGCGTGGTGGGGGCAAGAGGCACAGAGTCATCACACAGACCCCGGGAGTGAGTCGGGTGAAAGCAGGCTTGAGGCAAGCAGCCCACAGACTCCTTTATTTCAGTTGGTACATCTTATATAGGTAAGAGCAGTCAATCCGGTCAAGGGGCGGTCTATGCCCCAACCAATCACAGCCTGTTGCCAAGCAGTTTCCAAAGCCATCAATCACAGCCTGTTGCCAGGCAGGCTCCATTGCCAGGTGGGTTTCAAAGCCATTCCTGAGTAACTGATGATCGCTTGCCAGCAGCCACCTTGCCATGGCCTTCTCATTCTACCACAGGGGTCCTGCGGGGAGCAGAGGCAGGAGTCTCAAAGGTGTATTTGTTTCTTAAAGGACTTCCCTGGCCGAGCCAGAAATGAGCCCGGGTCCACGGAGCAGGAGGCTGCACAGAGAAAAGGGAGCTTGGCCAGGGGAGGGTCCAGCTCCTGGGAATGAAGGGAGGGGCAGAGAACCAGCGTGGGATAGCCGAGGGTCAGCTCCACCTGGGCTGGGAGCGTGGTGCATGATGGGCAGCAGGACTGGGGTGGCCGAGCTGACACTGCCCCTCCCCCATGCAGTGCCCCTCACTGAGGAGGAGGAGCTGCTGAGCAGGAGGGTGATGAAGTACTGGGCCAACTTTGCTCGCAACGGGTGAGACGACTCCCCCCAAATCCCCAGGGACCTGGGACCCTCTGCCCTCCCTCCTCTGGGGGGACCTCACCAGCATCCAGGGTCCTAAGTCACGTGACAGTGCCCTCCCCAGCTCTGGACCCACTGGCACTCACAGGGGCCTGGGACCAGGCACACTCTCCCATCTCCCAGTGACCTGGGTTGGGCCACGGGCTGCTCACGTCTGCTTCCTGACGTCTTGTCTGCAGGAACCCCAACGGCGAGGGCCTGCCGCACTGGCCCGTGTTCGACCAGGATGAGCGATACCTGCAGCTGAACCTGCAGCCTGCAGTGGGCCAGGCCCTGAAGGCCCGCAGGCTCCAGTTCTGGACCCACACCCTGCCCCAGAGGGTCCAGGAGCTAAGAGGAGCTGAGCAGAAGCACACAGAGCTGTAGCTGCCTGTGTGGGGGTTGGGGACAGGGGCTCCAGAGCAGGTGGGGCCCGATGCACTCACACACATCCCCGGAAGAGCCATGCATTAGGCACTCTCACGTGACCACTCAGTCCTGCTGGCCTCCGTCCACTCAGCAGACCATTGTGGAGAACCCAAGTCTTGAGGTTCATTGCCAACCCTCCCTGGGTCCCCTCGTGTGAGACACACCCAGTACCTGTTCCATGGAGCTGTGTTGGGCAACACCAGTCCCCGCCCAGCTTCCTCAACACCCACTGGGCCCTGGGCCCCTCCTGCTTCTTCCCCCACCACCTTCTCCCCACCCTCCCTCTCCTTTCCTCCCTGCCCAGGCCTTCCACACGTGGAGGAGGCTGCGTTGGGCATTGTTGCCCACCCCTGGGTGCCTTAACCCCTCCTCCTCCTCCCAGCATGCCCTGTGATCTCACATCTCTTAGAGGCCACAGAGGACCTGGACTCCAGGAGTCAACGTGGCTTCATCCCTGCAGGCTGCCATGAGTGGCACTTCAATCCCATCCATGCAGCACAAATAAAGGTTCCAGTCCTTTTACAGCTGAGTCACACTCATCTGAGTGAACCTGCCACGTTTTCTTAGACCTGTTTACCTGCACACCTGGGATACCATGAATCAATAATGCAGTAAACCTGTTGCTTTGCACAGGGGGTTAAGCCTCTACCCATGTTGCTGGCATCTCATATGAGGACAGTTCAGGTCCCAGCTGTTCCACTCCTGATCCAGCTCTCTGCTAAGGCACGTGGGAAAGAGGAGGGCCCAAGTGCTTGGACCCCTGCGACCACGTTGGGTACACAGATAATGTTTCTCCCTCTGGACTTTGCCCTGGGCTAGCCCTGGCCATGGTGGCTGAGAGAGCCTGGGGCTGAGCAGAGGTCAAGGCCAGTTCTCAGAAGCCACAAAGTCAGCCTTCATGAGCCAGGGTCCACTTCCCCTGGGGGCTCCCGTGCCCAGGCTGCTCCTCCTTCCTGCAGGGAGCCTGATGTTTCCTACACTCAGGCTGACTCCCAGCCCCTCCACTGCTGTCACAGGACCACACGTACCCTGCTGGGTGCCCGGTGAGGAAAGTTTGGGCCCTGGGTCTTACATTTTATTCAAGGTTCTAGTCCTCACGGAGATGAGAAATCCCAATGACACCGGAGGCAAGGCCGTGGAAGCCATGGCCTTCTCGTCTTCACACAAGGAAGAATTCAGACAGGAGACAGAGAGCAAAGGCTTTCTTGGGGACAGGGCATCTGTCAGGAATGAAGGGACAGAGAGAGCACCCAGTCACTGGGACCAGGGGAGAGCGAGGTGACAGGGATGAGTGGAGAGAATACACCTGGGCAGGCCAGGCGGGGCTCAGCAGGGAGGCAGAGGGTGAGCACAGTCTGTTTGGACTCCCTAGGTTTCTAAGGGAGCCTGTTTACCCACCTCCCCTCTCCTCCAGGACAAAGGGTAGGGACCCAGGGAGTGTTTGCTGGGTGAAAATTATTAAATTTCTTCCCAGATTTGCTGGGCACAGCAGAGCAGAGGGGCTTCCCTTTGGCATCTAGGATTTGTTGCCCCGTGTTAGCAGGTCAGGTAACCCATCCGGTCCTGAGGAGGGAGTTCTCCCTGGAGCTTTCCTTGGGGGAAGGGCAGGGACACCTGGGAGGTTATCAGGGTCTGGGCAGGATGTGAAGTGCAGGATGCTGGGCTTCTGCGGCTTCCGTAGTAGGTGCTGGGGTTCAGGCCCTTCTCACACACACTCAGAGGCTCTTTCTGACCTCCTACCTGACAAAAGCAGCAGCAGCCACAGGCAGTGCACAAAAGCAGCTTTGATTTCAAGGAGAGAGAGCGTGACCACACCTGCACGCCTACTGAGGGCCGCCACACACACACGGAGAGACACTCAGCAGGAATGGGCCAGGGTTGCCAGGGGGAAGAGAGGAAGAGGCAGCCCAAGGAGGATTCCCAAGCACAGCCAGGGGCAGAGAGGGCCCTCCCCTTTCTCATCCCAGGGGCGGTGCCCTAAATGCATAACCCAGTGGGGTGGGATCTCACCTGTGGGAATAGTGAAGGGATTGTTATGGCCCCTCCATCCAGAATTTCACTTCCCTGTTTCCATCATGGCTTCTCCTTCCTGGTCCCAGCTGAGACACAGGTGCATCCTGGGAAAGTGGTGTAAAAGACTGACAAGCAAAGGGATAAAGTTACAATGCAGGGCTGGCAAAGTTCCAGCTCCCGAATTCCCATTGTTCTTCCTGCCTGATTGCCACATATCAGGCAGGACCAGCAGGTTTTCACTGTCAAGGAGAGGACAGAACTGTGTCTCAGAAGCAGCTGGGGACACAGCACACATTGGGTTCACCCTTAGTTAGTGCCATGGTCACTGCCTCTCAAAACCTGGACCCTGAGTGAGCAGGGAGGGGATGGGCAGAGTCGGGAAAGGATGGAGGAGGGGCCTGGACCCAGTGGGCACCCAGCCTGGAAACCAAGGAGGAGCTTCCAGGATCCGGGACAGTGACACCTGCCAGCCTTGGCTCAGGTGACCCCTGGGGCAGGGGCTGTGGCACAGAGCAGTGAGCCAGCACCTGCAGTGCCTTCATCCCATGTAGGCACAGAGCCGAGCCCCCGCGGCTTCACTTCCGATCCAGCTTCCTGCTAATGTGCCTAGGAAAGCAGCAGAAGGCCCACGTGCTTGGGCCCCTGCACTCACCCGGGAGACCCAGAAGAAGCTGCTGGCTCCTGGCGTTGGGCTGACCCAGACCTGGACGTTTGAGACTACCCTGTAGATGGAAGATCTCTCTCTGTATCTCTCTTGACTCTTTAACTCTGCCTTTCAAATAAATAAAAAATAAATAAATCCCTTTTTTAATGGTTCATTCCCCTTAGAAGGCCCCCTGGTGTCCTGCTTCCTGTATGCCTACACTATCTCAGACTAGGACAGCAAGGACAGTGAAGTTGGTGACTCCAGGATTGAGGTGAGGGGCCTGGACCCTCGAGGAGCCCAGTGAGAGGGGAGGCAGCCATGCCTGGGTCCCTACTGACCTCTCTTCTCTCAGGCCACTCCCACCAGAGGCACTCAAGCCCCGCCCCCATGGTGTGCCCCGCCTGCTTCCTGCCCAGGCCAGGGGCGAGGCCCTGGTCCCAGCCTGGAGCACTGGGTGCAGCCTGCGGGACACAGAGGTGTGCACGCGGGCCTCCTTGGAGCATGGGGCTGCACCGAAGGGGAGCTCGGCTCGGCGCCATTGTCTGCGGTCTCCTGCTGTTCCTCGACCCGGGTCATGGTGAGGATTCCCGGGGGCAACAGGGACCCTGGTCAGATCTGCCCAATCCCGCAGTTAGAGCCTGAGGCCACAGGAGGGCAGCACCTGGGAGGCTGGAGGTGGCAGAGGTGACAGTGGGGCACCTGGTCGACCACCATGGTCTCCGGAAGCTCCTGGCACGGAGGAATGAGCCCAGCACGAAGGCTCTGAGCAGCGCTGGTCGGGTCGGCAGCCGGGACAGGAAGGGGCGTGGGGAATGGGGCCCTTTCCCTCCCTTGCTTGAGGCTGTGGTGACTGTGCCCTCCCCAGGACAGTGATGAACCTGCTCTGGGCTGTGTATCTGCCAGGGTCTCCTCTGACCCTGTGCACCTGGCAGGGGTCCTCCTGGGCTGGATCCAGGACAAAGGTGACCACACCTCCGTGCCTGGCATTCTGGGAGCCCAGGCCAAGAGGGCACAAAAGCTGGGTGTGTCGTGGAGCCTTTATCTCCTCATTCCAAAGGCCCAAGACTGGAGCTGGCATTGCAGAGCAAGTCAGCACTGTGCACTGGCGGCCCCTAGGAACACTGGCTCCAGCTCTGCCTGCTCGTCTCCCAGTGAAGCTTCCTGTAATGTGCCTGGGAAAGCAGTGGAAGATGGCTCTGTCCCAGACCCTGATGCTCCCACGTGGGAGACCCTGCTGGAGTTCAAGGCTCCTGGCTGAGGCCTGGGTGGGCCATTTGGGAGCTGAACCAGCAGATGGGTTCTCTCTCTCTCTCTCTCTCTCTCTCTCTCTCTAACTTGACCTTTCCAAAAAATAACTCTTTAAAGAGAATAAAAAATCGTGAAAAGCCAGGTCTCTAACCCCACCCTCTCCCTATCTAATCCCCAGCACAGGCCCCACTCCTCCTCCTCCATGCTCACCCACGGGCTCCCCGCCTGCCCTGCAATGCACAGACTCTCCCGGCGACCAGGACCTTCCAGGCAGATCGTCTCCCCCACATCACTGTGGTTCCTAATAAAGTAATATCTGGGGCTGGGTCCCCACTCAGAGAGGGAGCAGTTGTTCCCCAAGGTCCCTGGGAGTCGCTGTGCGTGTCCGGGGCAGGAACCGCGGCAGCGTCTGCACGGAAGCCGCCCCTGTCCTCCATGGACTCTGCTGAGCTCAGCTCACTGTCAGCCTCACAGCCGGAACTGCTGCCGCGGGCAGCGCTGTCCTCCATGGTTGGGGCGAACGACAAGGACAAGGTCGGGACCAGCTCAGGACAGAGGCGCTATTTACTCACCGGCTCCGGGGCCAGGCTCTCCTCTCCCTGACCCAGGGGCGCCCAACAGTTGGCACTTCCCTTGGGCTTCTACCGAGGGTGGGACCTGCAGGGCGGTGGAGCTCCGGGTTAAGTGTTGCAGGACTGCCCGTCGGGTTCCCAGAGCAGGTGTCCCGTTTCTCTACCCCAGCCATGGGCACAGGTCCCCCTCCCCACCCCCGCGCCCGGGCTCTGCACCCTTGTGTGGTTGCCGTGTGTTGCTGAGTCTCCCTCACGTGTCAGCTCCCCCTCTGCCTCACTGTGCTCTTCCTCCTGATTCCTGTGTTGAGAAACCGGTTTACCCCTGGCTCTCTCTGGAGGGGGAGGCCCCATCCCTGTGGTGCCTTCTGGCCGTTCCTCATTCCCCTCACCCTCTGTACACAGGAATTGTAGCCTAGAGGCTCCATCAGGTTCAGCTGTTAGGGTTCCGCTTCTGTTTTTTCTTGTTTAGGGAAGACCAGCATGTGGTGCTGAGTCCTCACCATAGAACATCTCGACCTTTTCATATCTGGTTTGTGGCACAACATAGGTCATGAGGGGCAGCACTGGGAGCAGCAGTGGAGCCACCGCTGGGGACGCCCAGCCCTGAGCCCTGTGCTCGGGTCCCGCCTCGGCACCTCCTGATTCCAGCTTCCTGCTAACCTGCAGGCTGAGAGGCAGCAGGTGGGCTCCGGTACTGATCCCTGCCTCCCACTGGGAGACCCCGATTGAGTTCAGGGCTCCTGGCCTATCAGGGCCCCGTCCCAGCTGTGGTGGCCATTTGGTGAGGGAACCAGCACACAGGACATCTCTGTCTCTCTGTGTGTGTCTCTCTTTTCATATGAATGAATACAAATTACAAACAAGAGCACCGAGGTAGTCTGGAACCACGTGCTTTTCTCTTCATTTGTGTGAGATCCTCAGGTTTATGTGCATATTTGTACATCTTATTTTTTTAGAGAGATTTATTTTATTTGAAAGGCAGATTTACAGAGAGGCAATTGCTTAAAAAGAGAGAGAGAGAGAGTGAGCGAGAGAGGGAGAGAGAGAGAGAGAGAGGTCTTCCATTCTCTGGTTCACTCCCCAGTAGACTGCAATGGCTGGCGCTGAGCCAATCCAAAGCCAGGAGCTTCTTCCAGGTCTCCCATGTGGGTGCAGGGCCCAAGGAGTTGGACCGTCTTCTGCTTTCCCAGGCCAGAGCAGAGAGCTGGATGCACAGTGGAGCAGCCAGGACTCAAACTGGCACCCATATGGGATGTTGGCCCTGCAGATGGCCGCTTTACCTGCTATGCCACAGTTCTGGTCCCTAACCTATTTTCTGATGTGTGGCTAAAATGTTCTGATTCGTTGGTAGAAACTCTTTACTAATCCCTGGGCTTCCGCATTAGATGACTTCGTCACCTCCTCCCTCACTGGTCCCCAGATCAGGTTGTGCTTGTCCTATCCTGGGCACAGTCACCTCCCTCCTGCATTCATGGCACCAATGCCATCTCTTTTAGAGAGCATGCTCTCTTTCTGTTTTTTTTTAAATGATATGTTTTGTTTCCTTCTTGAAAGATTTCTTCTTTATTGGAAATGCTGAGTCCAGACAGAAAGGGAAAACAGATCTTCCATCCTCTGATTCCCTCCACATGTGCGCATTACAGTCAGGGCTGGGCCAGTCCAAAACCAGGAGCCATCCAGGGCCTCCAGGAGGGTGCAGGGCCCAGGTGCTGGGGGATTCTACTACGTCCCCAACCCATTAGCAGGGAGCTGGATCCAGGTGAAGCAGCCAGGATGGAACTGTGTAGGGGATGCTGGCCATGCAGGCTGTGGGTGCACCCGAGCGCCACTACACCGCCCCCTAGAGGACGCTTCCTTTCTTCCCTTCTTGCTGCCTGGAGCATGAGCCTCCTAGCAGGGGAGCCTGGTCAGTCTGGTGCTCACAGCTCTACCTCCTGTGACCGAGGGCAGTCAGCAGAAAGGACGCTCTCCTCGCCCCCAGGGCTGTCACCTGCGCTGACTCCTAGTGCTCAGGGAGGGTGCTAGGTCCCAGGAGCCTCGGGAGCTGTGGGATGTCCTCGGTAGGCCCAAGGACAGCACTGTTGACTTGGCAGGTGGGGGGAAATTCCCTGTGCGGGGAGTTGGTCAGGTCAGTGTTTGTAGGTCCGAGGTCTTGGCAAGTCCGAGGTGCCGATGCCAAGGAGAGGCCACAGCAGCTGTGTGGGAGGGCAGCTCATGGAGAGCCACACCTGATGTGCTTCTCTGCCCCCAGGCCAGGACCCTGCCAGCCCCATCCGGAACACACACACGGGGCAGGTGCGCGGGAGCCTGGTCCACGTGGAAGGCACCGATGCGGGCGTCCACACCTTCCTGGGAATTCCCTTTGCCAAGCCACCTCTGGGGCCGCTGCGCTTTGCACCTCCTGAACCTGCTGAAGCTTGGAGTGGAGTGAGGGACGGGACCTCCCACCCAGCCATGTAAGCACTCCCAGGGTGCAGGGAAGGTCCAGCCCTATGGGGAGGTTGTGGCATTGATCCTGTTTTCTGGGCCTGGACAGCTGTCCTGTTAGAATTCCCATAACCAGCTTTCCCTGTGGGTGATGGCTTCCCACGTGCTTTATCAGTGAGTCTGCTGAGGCTCACAAGAGCACAGTGGTTTGCCAGGCTCCTGGCTTGGACTTGGAGTCAGAGGGCATTAAGCTCCAGTTGCTGACTGGAGAAGCAGACAGGGACATTCAGGTTCTGCCCATGTTCTGAGCCACCAGGGGGCGCTGTCTCTGCGCAGGTGGGAGGGTGTAGTCAGTTGCCTCCAGGAAGCTTGCCCCTGACTGCATCTGCAGAACCTGCATATCTCTGAGGAGGACACCAATGGGGTCTCCCTGGGACCCCATGTCCACAGTCACCGAATCTACGGACATGGGACTTGTATTCTTATATGGGACTCTGTGGGATGATGTGACTCCACGAGAGTCTAGAATTAAGACAAGGGATGAAGTCAATTGCTCCCATGGGGTCCCCATAGAGTCAAGATCACCCTAGGCCATCAGCAACTGTGGGACCCCCCTGGAAGTGCAGCTCTGTCCCAGCTCCCCCCGGGGCTGTGGCCTGGCACGTGCTGCAAAGGGACTCCCGAGGAGGGTCACGTGTGAGCAGGATATCAGGGGAAGGGGCATGAGGGTGGCCCTGCACAAGCCCTGGGCTGACTGTCGCCATGGTGGCCGCCAGGTGTCTGCAGGATGCAGCTATAATGACCGCAGCGACCGAGTTCCTCTTTAACACAGCCTTGCCTCCCACCCCCGTGTCAGAGGACTGCCTGTACCTCAGCGTCTACGCACCGGCCCACGCCCACGAGGGCTCCAGCCTCCCTGTGAGTGACCGAGACCCTCTCGGGGATGACAGACATTTCTTTTGCAAGCAGATGAAAAAAGGGTTCTGGTCCCGTCAGGGCGCCGGATTATGTCCCGGTTGCTCCTCTTCCAGTCCAGCTCTCTGCTGTGGCGTGAGAGTGCAGTGGAGGATGGCCCAGGTCCTTAAACCCTACACCCGCATGGGAGACCAGGAGAAGCACCTGGCTCCTGGCTTCGGATCAGGACAGTGCGCTGGCTGCAGCGGCCACTGGGGGCTGAATCAACAGAAAAAGGAAGACCTTTCTCTCCGTCTCTCTCTCACTGTCCACTCTTCCTGTCAAAAAAAATTTTTTAAAGAAGATTAAAAAAGACAAGGTTGGCCCAGATCCCTCCTCAGTGTGGCCCTGGTAAGAAGCTTCGCACTGTCAGCTCCAACAAGTCTTTCTTACTCTTGGTGGGCAGCTGACCTCTGGGCTTGGGGTCCCAGAGCCCCAGTTGCTCCCAGAGGTCACAGAAGGTGGCCCTGTGATGGACCCAGGACTCACCCAACCAGTTGTGGCCAGGAGCATCACTCGGGTGCCCGAGGGCCCTGCTGCTCATTCCCCAATGCCCGTCATGGACTGTTCGTGTTGAAGACGGTCCTGTGCTGTCGGTTACTGTTCAAGTGGAGCAGTCGGGGGGACACTCCTTTCTGTGCACACAGAGGAGGTCCTGGGAGGAACAGAGCGAGACTTTGGTAGTGGAGGAGGGGGCCCCACAGTGTGAGTGGCCTGTGTTTTCCGATAGAATTCGATGACCCAGGTCCTGCAGTCTGACGGGAGCTCCGTCTCCACGGGCAGGTGCAGAGCCAAGCACTGGGTAGTCCAGGTGGCAGCCAGGTGGCGTTTGGGCTGGTGGGAACCTTGTGGTATTGGCCTTGACTTTGTCAGGTGATGGTGTGGATCCACGGTGGTGCACTGGCTGTAGGCATGGCTTCCATGTATGACGGTTCTGCGCTGGCGGCATTTGAGGACGTGGTGGTGGTCACCATCCAGTACCGCCTGGGAGTCCTGGGCTTCTTCAGGTGAGACCGGGGCTAGGGTGGGCCCTGCGGGACGAGTGGCACCGGGACAGCCCAGTGACCCCTGTCCTTCCACTTCTCAGCACTGGAGACCAGCACGCCACTGGAAACTGGGGCTACCTGGACCAAGTGGCCGCGCTGCGCTGGGTCCAGCAGAATATCGCCCACTTTGGAGGCAACCCTGGCCGGGTCACCATTTTCGGCGAGTCTGCGGGTGCCATAAGTGTGTCATCCCATGTGCTGTCACCCATGTCCCAGGGTCTCTTCCACAGAGCCATCATGGAGAGTGGGGTGGCCATACTGCCCGGGCTCATCACCACCTCATCGGAGGTGGTCTCCACAGTGAGTGTCCTCCACTGCCCTGCCCAGGCCTGCTGCTCCTGTCTTCCCTCACAGAGCCTCTGTTTCTGTCTCTGTTCAATGGGTACAACAAGGAACATCAGGGTGCCTCCGGAACTGCCATCAACCTGGGCATGGGGGACTCGGGGGTCAGAATCCACACACCTCTGCCGCGGTAGAGATCGATTCTGTGTCCTGCTAAGATGCCACACTGGGGCTCCCTTGCTGGGTGGAACCGTCTAGGCAGGTGTGCTGGTCCCTCTGGCTGAGACAACAAGTTCACAACTGCAACACCCTGGGAGACGGGGCACACTTGCCCCCAGCCACAGCTTTGGGTAGACTCCCCCTCCCCTCCTGAAAAGGGGTGCCAGCCCCTGTGTGGTCCCGTTACAGATGGTGGCCAACCTGTCTGCCTGTGGCCAGGTGAACTCCGAGGTCCTGGTGCGCTGCCTGCGGGGCAAGAGTGAAGAGGAGATGCTGGCCATCACCAAGGTTGGGCCGAATTCACAAAGCGGGGGGGGTGCTCACAGGCCTGATGCTCATCCTACTCCCCGGCCTGCATGCCTTGCTGTCCTCATAGCCCTGGATGGGAAGTGGAGACCAGGGCAGCCACGTCAGGCATGAGCCCTGCTGGACTGGGCATGGAGACTGCTGTGAGCCAGGAAGGAGTGGAAGGCATCAGGAGATGTTTGGGACCTGACCTTGCTGCCTCCCTAGGCCTTCAGATCCATCCCTGGCGTGGTGGACGGGGTCTTCCTGCCCAGGCACCCCCAGGAGCTGCTGGCATCGTCGAACTTCAGACCCGTCCCCAGCATCATCGGTGTCAACAACGACGAGTATGGCTGGCTCCTCCCCAGGGTGAGGCTGAGCTCCGCACCCCTGGGGGACTCAGGACTCTGTCAGTTCAGGGATCCCAGGGCTCTGTCGCTCTAGGCTTGTCACCGGAGAAAAGGCTGTGGAAGCCGCGGGGTTCTTGTCTTCACGGGAGAAAGAATCCAGGCGTGAGACAGAGAGCGAAGTGATGAGGCTACATTGGGGTTAGGGCATCCATCAGAACGGATGGGACAGAGGGAGAGCGACCAGTCGCTCAGCCTGGGGGAGAGCGAGGTTACATGGGTGAGTGGAGAGAACACACCTGGGCAGGCCAGGCAGCAGCTCAGCTTAGAGCCAGAGGGCTGAGCGGGCAGTCCTAGTTTCGATTCCCGGTTTAAGGGAGCCTGTTTACCCACCTCCTCCTCTTCTTCCAGACAAAAGATGGGGGCTCATAGGAAGGGTTTGTTGGGTGAAATTAGCAAATTCCTCCCCTGATTTGCTGGGCCTGGCAGAGCAGAGGGGCTTCCCTTAGAGCGTCTGTGAAGGTTTTGTTGCCCCATGTTATCAGGTCAGGTAACCCATCTGGTCCCCAGGAGAGAGAATCCTGGGAGCTTTCCTTGGGGGAAGGGCTGGGACCACCTGGGAGGTCATCAGGGTCTGGGCAGGATGTGAAGTGCAGGATGCTGGGCTTCTGGGGCTTCCACAGTAGATGCTGAGTTCAGGCCCTGCTCACACACACAGAAGCTCAACTTCTAACTTCCCACCTAACGGGCTCATCAACCCCACCCCACCCCAGAGCATACAGACCCTGGACTCCCAGAAGGACA